CAGAATCGGCGCGCGCCCCCCGCCCCCGGGCCCCCGGCGTAAACAAACCGGCCCACGTGCCGCCCGCGCCCGCCCCGCCGCGCTGATAGCGGGGACGCGACTCCGCGTCCGCGTCCGAAACCGCAACCTTATCGGCCCGATTTCCAATCGATCTCCCGCCCCCCCCCCCCCTCCTTCCGGCGGTGTCGACCCGCGAAGGGGAACCGATCGAGGTGACTCGCGAGCGCGACCGCGTCGCGTCTCCGCCGGACCTTCAACCGGTCCCGGCGCGGCACCGATTCCGCGGCGCGGGCACGCTCGCCGTATACGCGACGGCCGCAAATAACAAGATGGCAGCCGATCGAGAGCGATAAGCGCGACGGCGCGCGCGAGACGCGACGCGACGCGACGTGACGCGCCGTCACGCGTTTCGGGATCGCGCGGTCGATCCTCGCGGCCGGAAAAAAGGGAAGAGCCGGAACGGGGGGGGGTTCAATAACGACGGGTTAACGCGGATAGGCAAAAGCGTACTCACCGCTGGGATGCGACGATCTCGGTCCCGTGGTCCTGGCGACGGCGACGTTGCCCGCCGAACGTGCGTGGGGCCGTGGGGCGGCCGGGGATCTGCAGTTATATATCCAATACGATAATACGAGCGTATCCAAATAACGATAATCCACACACAGAAAGAGAGATAGAGAGAGAGATATATATATATGTAGCTAGAAACTGTCGGGCGCACACTTGATACGAGAACTCTCACTCGCGCGGAACTTTGGGGCGAAATACGTGCGGAAACGTATCGTTTCGCCTTCCCTTCGGCGCGATCACTGATTTTCCCCGATGACGGCGGCGAGGAGCGACGCACTCCGCGGCTATTTATCGGTCGGTCGAGAGAGAGAGAGAGAGAGAAATAGAGATACGGAGCGAAGTGAGCGGCGAGACGGCGCGAGAGCGAGAGCGGCGGCACACAGAGGCACTTTCCCGCGACGCGCACCACTAATAATACATCACTACGTCAACGGTGATGCCCGGCACGGCCATCATTGGGCAGTGCCGCGTCGCCGTTGCTTGTCCATGCGTGCATGCGTGGCCGCGCGTATCCAAGAAGCGCGCACACCACCGACGCGAGGGATCGAGAGAGCGGGGGAGAGAGAGAGAGAGAGAGAATGTATCCTCTCGGACGCGATGGACAAGTGCGACGTGCACCGACGGGCGCGACGGCGACGGGGAAAAACAACGGCGCGCGGGCGGGCGCGGCAACCTAAGACGCTCCTCGGCGTCCTGGAGAGACGCCGCGTCGTCGCGGGCGCGGACAGATGGACAAGTTAGATAGGTAGCACGGATCTACCCGTCCGTATTCCGCGCGCCTACACCATCACCGCCACTGGGTACGTAGTCGGAGTCCGAGGAGAGGGCCGCGGGCCGAGACGCAACGCAGATCCGTGGCGCGCGCGAGCTGGTGCGAGACTGAGCGGGGCTGGCGGCGGCGCACGAAGCGAGCCGATCGCCGCCGCGCCGCACCGACGGGACACGAGGACGCACGAGGGCGGCCAGTAATGCCGATGATCGAAGAGCTCCCCTCCACTTCCCGCGCCGACCGACCGACCGACCGACACACCGACACCCCGCCGCGCCGCGCCGCGCCGCCCGCTCGCTCGGAGCGGAGCGGAGCGGAGCGCGGGGCCGCGACGACGGATAGATTACGCGCGGCGCACGCGCGAGCGAGCGAGCGAGTGCACGCTCCTGCTCTCCCCCTGACGCGAACGCGGTTTCATTACGTAAAACAAGTGTGCGTCGCTCGAACCCCGCGGCGCCGCGCTCCCGATTCGTTTCGCCGTCGAAAGAAAGAAAATAAAAAGAAAAACGCGCGAGAGAGTCCGCGGCCGATCCGTTTCCGATCTCCTTGTATCCCGTCGTCGGCACCGCCGGGAATTACGTTTGCTCTAGCTCCGTGCGAACGCGAGCGATTAGAAACAGGGTCCTCGATCCCGGCCCTCGGCTCGAGTTTAAACACACGAGCCTAAAGCCCGATCCACAATGCGCCGTTTGCGTCCTGGAAACGTTCTATTTCGTTCAGTCAGCGAATACGTTTAAAAAATGTGCGCAAGTTTGATAGATTGTACAGTCGTGCGTCGTCGACGAATTTCTTGAGCGCTTTCATTTGCTTGTATAAAATGGAACGTTTCCAGACGCGAAGGGCACATTGCGGATCAAGCTTAAGGCTCGGCCTGCGATGAGTTGTTGGACTGGTATTACGTTTATCATACGACAAAGTTTCAAGCGTGTCGATTGGCTGCGGGGTAGAAAAGTTGTCGAGTGTCGAGAAATTTTCTAGCTCGTAGCCAATCAAGGTAGCCGACAAATGTAATAGCACCCTTAAGGCCGGTTTCATAAACGTCGGTTAACTGCTAATCGAAGGTCAATTGATTCTCCGTCTCTACTTAAATAATAAGATGGAAAACGATACGGAGTCGACTGAATCCTAGTTAACGGTCAACCGATGTTTGTGAAACTTGGATTTTCTTTGGTGGCTCTTAAAATGACCGACGTGTCTGACTTCTGACGTAAGGCCAGAACTATTGCTTGCGAGGGCCAAACAGGATTCGGCCTTAAATCACCTGTGGCTCGGTCGCGGGTCTTTTCCTCCAGCGTGAAAAGCGAAAAATTTCATTGGCCAGTATCGAATTCGTCGCGAGTCGGCGCTGGAGGGCAAGATTCGTGATCGAACCCCTCCTCATCTAAATCACTCTGCATCCTGATTGGCTCTCGCAAGGAATCGCCGCTGGCCTTACAACTCGCTGCGGACCGGATAAGGAACCACTGGGAATTTTTCGAGTACACGCTACGACGCAAATTTAGGTCGAGAGGCGTTTTCCCCCGCGGGGGAAAACCAAAGGGAGCTCGTCGGATAATTCCCGCGAGAAACGCCGCCGTCGCGCGCGCACCTTCGCAGGGAGTGCGCACTAAGGCTTGTTTACAATCAATTCTCTCGTATTTAAGAATCGCCTTAAACACTCGTTGACATATTTCGTAGCCAGTAAAACGCTCCGTATAGCCTCCATACGGATTATGTTTTGGCCAAGAACTCTCTCGACACATATTTGAGACAAAGTTAAATATAAAAATTGACCGTAAACCGGCCTTAGTGCGCGCTCGGTGCGCACTAGCGCGAGCAATCGAATCCGCTGCAAGTTACCGTTTACTCGGGAGCTACCGCGCGCGATACCTCGGGAACGGAATGCGAGGGATCCGGATTGAATCGGACTTTCGTTTCGGAGCGACCTTGCCGGAGGAGTCATCGGTGATTCAGGCGCGACGGAACGCGTTATACCCAGGTGCGCGCGGACGCGGGTCCTTTGAAGGTGCGCCAGCGGCGCGGACGGGCCCTTAATGCGGCCGGCTCGGATTAATTCACGTTGACGCGTCGACGAGCGCGTCGAACCGGCGATCCTGACGAGATCCCCCGTGCCTTATCGATGATTCATCGAGATAACTTCCGGCCGTTGACGGCTCCCGGCGGCGGGACGCCGACCGCTCTCTCGCGGCTCCGCGACGCGCGCGATTTCGCGTCGTAAAACGAGTCGAGTCACGCCGCTAATCGATCGCGGCGACCTGCGGCGGCCGCTTATCGCGCGGAAATGCGCGCGCGACGACGTTCGCGCTCTCGCGTGAATTCGCATATCTCGATGTATCGCGCCTATCGGCGCTCGGACAAAGACAGGCCGAAAGAGAAGACAGGCCGCCCTCCCTCTCGCGTGGCGATAAAACGGCGGCACGTCACGCGCGCTCGCCCCGCACAACGCGCGCGCGCGTGACGATACGAGAAAAAGAGAAGACAAGCACCTCCGAGATTCTTCCGTGTTTTCACTCGTGCTTTCCTATCGCCCAAGCGCGCACTCGACGCACACGTAAAACAGCGCGCGGGAATCGGGGACGCGGCTCCGATTCGAAGAAACTGTCGCGGCTGCTTCCCCGCAGGGCGGAACTCTCGGTGTCGCTGACGGGGACGGCGGGACACGGGAACGGGCGTGCGGACTGCAAAGGGGGACGGAGGGAGGGAGGGACCGGGGGAGAAACGGAGAGAGAGAGAGAGAAAAAGAGAGAGAGAGAGAGAGAGGAAGTGAGAGAAAGAGAGAATGAAGACGGAGCGCAGCGTGACGGGGTGAACCGTTTTTACGAAACTACCGCGACGGAGATCCGACACAAACTGAGAGCCGCCGAGCCGCTGATTGCGGCCGATAGCACACTCGCCCCCACCCTGCCGACCCTCTCCCCGCGCCGCTTCCCCCCTCTCCCCGCGTCCTCCACCCTCCCCGCCCGCCCCGCGGCCCACACGCATCCCTGAGCCACGTAGAGCCGCTCGACCTCCCGCGTTCTATCCCCGCCCGCGCCGCGAATCTGCCCTTCTCCACCTCGTTCCTCTCCACCTGCGACGCGGTCGCGAGAAAGTTTCCGCCGTATTGCTAGATTATCGGCGTTTACTCGTTACCGCCGAATCTGCGCGCGACCTTGCTGTAAACGAGAGAACGATGGCGAAACGACGCTCGAACGGGATCGCGCCGTGCGAAAGTGCAGGATTAACATCGATAATACTTCATTTGTGGCGTGATCTTGGAGAAGAAGAGGAGAGAAGATAATAATGATATTCCTCGGTGCCGTTACTAGGCGGTACACAATGTACGCTCCAGCGGAAGGCGCAAAATTTGGTGGGGCGAGCGAGCGAGTCCCAGCGCAGGGGCGCCTAAACGTGTTGCAACGTCACCGATATATTTCCTACACGGAGAGAATTTTGTCTTCACCCTGGAAATCGTGTAATCGCGGAACAATATGGCATTTTGAAGAAAAACTCCATGAGAGTTTTTTGAATTTTTATTAGTAATTATACAGGGTGTACTAAAGCCACCGGATATCCTTTTAATCGTAAATTCTTTAGAGAATTTCAAGACGAAACTTCCAATACAAAAATGTCGAGGCTATGATAGTTTTTAAATAATACGCGATTACATTTCGCAAATGATAGGCCTGAGATTTCGCGCGCTCAGGTACGGCGACATGACGAGTGATAAAAGTGTTCCTACGAATGTCGCCCTTCTTAGCATAGTAACAACCTTCACGGCAACTGATATCGGTCGATCACTTTGACAGCTGCAACACTTTGAAGTTACAAAATGTTGCAAACTTTCACTTGAATTAAATGAAAAGGAGCGACATTCATAGGAACACTTTTACCACTTCGCCGTGCCTGAGCGCGCGAAATCTCAGGCCTGTCATTGGTGAAATATAAACGCTCATTATTTAAAAACTATCGTAGCCTCGACATTTTTGTATTAGAATTTTCCTCTTGAAATTTTCTAGAGAATCTGTGATTAAAAGGATATCCGGTGGTTTTCGTACACCCTGTAGAAGAAAATCCTCTCTTGTGAGATAGGCTCCTAATGCGTGATAGGGGAGCTTCTGCTAAATTAATAGACATCCGTTGGCTCCACTATTTTATTGCCTTTGGAGCGAATCTGTTTAGTGGAAAATTAATTGTTGGATCGTGTAATCGTCGCGAAAAAAGATTTGCGATTGAATTAGGACGTTGAAAACCTACTATCACATTTGACTCCTATCTCATAATAGGGGACTTTCCTCTACTTGTTAGTATACATTTTGCTAACAAAATGTGCGATAAAATTTCAAAAAAACTCTCATAAAGCTTTTCGAAATGCCATACTGTCCCACGATTGCACGACTTTCCGGGATAAATTTGAAGAGAAAAAATTCTCTCCGTGTATTTAATGCTCGTGAGAACATGCGTGAGTTTTGTAAAAAGACTGGCGCGCGTTCAGCATTTCGGAGAAATTGAGAGGAGAAAGAAAAGAAGAGAAAAGAGAGGAACAAAAAATAACGCGCGACCGACTCGACATATCAACGATCTAAACGATTATGGGACGCGTCCGCACACCTGTTTATTTCATCTGAAAATTTCGAGCGACTTAAATATTCAGCGTGCATACAAGTTAAACCCCGTCGCACCGGTATTCAAAATGTTAGGTTAGGTTGTCGGGGGGAGGGGGATCGAATATCTCGTCCCAATTTTATCCTTTGGTCGAATCGCGAACAATCATTGTCCTGCATTGTCATAAATTACTCTTGACTCGATATAGTAAGTCAATATTTTTTAATTCGACAGACGAGAATAAGAGTTATTGATTTTATTTTGATACTGTCTTATTTTTATACCATACGGGGTTCCGAGAAATATAAATGCGTGAAGAATATTTTTTTATCTCGATAACAGAAATCCTTTCCGAGGGTGCGCCGTTAACCGCGGAATGCACCGGCGGAAACAGGTCGGACGGACCGGGACAGCGCACAACATTTGTAAAATATTTACAAAATATTCGTAAATATTTTCTAAACATCGTGCGCTGTTCGGGGAGCGTCACCGTCGCCGAGGTGCTGTCGCGTCATTCTTGTCCCACAATGTAACGCGACGTTAACCGAGTCAACATCCGCCCGAGCGGAAACCCATGGGCGCTTTATAATTTCAAAACGACCGTCGCGCGCGAGGAGGGACGGGAAGGGAAGTGAGCAATCTTCGAGATTTTCTCGGCGCCGTTTCCGAGACGCGACGTCGTCGAGACCGATGTGCGTGCGTGTGTGTGTGTGTATGTGTGTGTGTGTGTATGTGTGTGTGTGAGAGAGCGGAATAAAATAGCGCGCCGTCGCGCGCTGCACCGTATCTCTCGCTCGCGGGAACGCGCGGCGCGATAACGTCCGCTTGGATACTCCTCTCGCACGGTAAACTCGTTTCTACGCTCCGAAATCGATTTTCCGCGAAGATGACAAACGTCCGTTGACTGTAGAGTGAAAAGCGCAATTTGCGACGTACCGGCGATACTCGGTATTCTCGCAATATCCCTCTCTCTCTCTCTCTCTCTCTCTCTCTCTCTGCGCGATAAAACAATTTCTGGATAAGTTTGACGCGCGTAACTAGCGGAGTGGTACGTACATTTCCGAGTATGTAACGTGACGTGTACGTTCGATGTCGCTGGACGTGTTCGCATTCCCTCTCGGTACTACTGACAGTACTCCCAATAGTTTCGAGCACTCGGGCGCGAGGAAAAGGTGCGGGCGGTTGCTTTTAGAAAAGAATTACTGCTGTGTAATTAGGTGGGATACTGAGGTTACATTTCGGAATGATTTTCTCGGAAGGTGAATTCAGTAATAGCGTGGTATAACTAGTAGATCCACTCCGCCATTTATTGCGTTTTGCGGTCGATCCCTTCTGCGCCTACGACATTTTGTTGATTCAGCCAATGAGATAAAAGTTGCGTGCGCTATTAATATCTAAATTAGTTTTGCTGCAAGTTTAAAGAAAAGCTGTAACTTCATCATTTTTTACCCAACCACCTTAAGATTTGTGGTGTCTGGGAGTGTAAAACCGTGTGAAATTTAAACCTCCGGATGCTCGAGCACCGCGGTAAAAGTTGTACGAATCGTGAATTTTTACAAGTGGGTTGATCAGTTCGAAAGTGGCCGAAAAAGTGTTACCGATAAGCACCGTGAGGAACGCGATCAATTGCGGTTTCAACTGCAGCCCCGGCGCATCTCGCATCGACGAACGTTATTCAAGGCGACAGGCGAGCGTACGATTTGTAGCAGGAGATTTCGTCGAAAAAACAGGTGAATCGTACCTAGTCATTGAATAAACGGTCTTAAATCAACGTGACGTTTGTCTCTTTGCTGGTTAATCGGTCCAGTCGCTGTGACACAGCACGTCTTCAACGTTTTCACGAAGTCATACCTCGTCCCGTGAACTTTCATATCGCGGAAAGATATTACGAGGGGACACTTAAACCGGCTACTTGATAACGATTACAGATAAACGTCGTAAATCGAATTAACGATCATTTACATTCCGGTATGCGTGGCGGTCGTTAGGCACGGTACGTACGTAAGATATTCGTGCGCGATCACCACGACATACGGTGTCGGGTTAACACGAACAGGCATTATAAATGAGGAGTCAAACGGAGACAGATAGCTCGAGACAAAGACAGAGAGAGGGGCTGGAGGAGGAGGACGAGGAGGAGGAGGAGGAGGAGGACGAGGAGGACGAGGTAGCTAGAGAAGGACATAATGTAGGTCACGACCCAAATCGCGCTCCCCGGCCTCTATTCGGATCTTTCGTAATTCGCGAAAGTGTTCAACGAGTTTCCAAGAGTACCTTCAGTTAAAAGAACTGCTAGCAGGTGAGCAAATTCTTTCGCCGCTAATCCTACAATCTTGGGGTAGAGACGTAAACAAAATTGCGACCCACTCGATGCGCGAGAAAGAACTTAATCAACTTGTAACGGAGTTACAGTTACAGTTACTTTTTTTGGTAACTTTAACTTAACTTCGTTACCTTCTCTCCATCTGTTACATTTTTTCTTTTCGATAACTAGTAACTAATTTAATAGTTACATTAATAGTTACTTTATATATTGTTTAAACCCCCACAGATCGCATTAGGTCTTGCATTTGCACATAAACGCCTTTATCGACACTTTACAATTCAAACGCGGATTTGACATTTTTATTTTCATTGCAAGAAAGTAACTGCAAAGTAACGATTCGTTTTTTAGTAACTGTAACTAGATACTTTTATAAAGTAACTTTCCCAACCCTGATAATTTTTCTCCGCCTAAATGTTACGTTACGGAACAATGCGCTTGAATATTTATTTGTCTGTCAATTTTTTAGCAGTCAATTTAGCACACGCACAGTTGTTGACGCTTTGATAATAAAGAATCTTTTAACACTGTGTCGTGCGACTTCTGAGTCTCCTGCAGTATATTAATTAAATATTTGCACAATCAGTATTACATTCCAACAGACGTTTAATCGATTAATATTTCTCATCTCATCTTTTTACGCGATAATCGCTGATGTTGACATATGCAATGAAGAGATTTTTTATCACGAATAAAGTGAACGTGTCGATTACATATACTGATAAATTTGTTAACGGGGATGAAAATCAATCGAAAAAATATACATTTTATTCATTATCTTATTTCAGAAACAATTACACTATTAACAACAGCCGTAGTAAACCGTTCCCTTAATTTTTATCCTGAAATTTTTATACTGAACGTCACTTGCGATAAATATCGAGCACGCACCCACCAAAAAAAATTTCCAGATGCAATGCTATTACACTTGAATGTATCATAAAATAGGATCGATATAGCGCCAATCATATTTATTATAGAGAAAGGAATATTTTAATCTTAAGGTGACTCCTGCATAAAAGGTAGAAAAAAATTGAAATTTAAGTATGTCGTAGTTGTAAATTTTATCTATCAGTACGAAGAAATTTCAGATCCGGTCGCCGATGAAATAAAATAAAGGAAAAATGTTAAAGTTGCATTTTTTAACATTCCAGTGAGTACCAAGTAACAGTTACATAACATCAATATTATAATTTCCTACTCAACAAGATAAATGTAATATAACATTCATGTTATATTACATTTACATTGTTAAGTAGGACATTATAATATTGATGTTATGTAACTATTACTTGCTGTTCACTGGGGTAGGGGTTATAGGCCGATCGCTCGCAGAAGCACTTTGAGGATTAATATTATTTTATAGAGAAAGTAGATCTTAACAAAAAGCGACATGAACATATCAAATGTCACAAGGATTCAAATGTGCAGTTGGAAAATTTGTGATTTCTTGTTTAAAAAAAAATGCCGGTTACAATTTTTGTGTTAAATATTTGTTAAAATTTACAGAATAAAATGTTGATTTTATTCTATATAACATAAGTGAGAATGATTTCGAACCGTCATTTGACTAATTACACCTGTAAAACGTAAAAATTACAATTTTTTAAATTCATTTTGTCATTAAAAATATGTTAATTTTACACAAAACTTATTTCAAATTATTTTGAGATTTGCATTTATTTTGTGTTAAGATATTAACAGAGTATTAGTGTGATCATTTAACGTATCCATATTATGTTAAATTAACACAAAAATTTGTGTGGACCGTTTGGGACATGTGATATGTTAAATTTAACACAAATTTTTCAACTGTGTGCTATTAAGTATATGAGGTCACCGACCTCTGCAAGCAAATACTTATTAGTAAAATCAAAAGATACGTTTTAGGAAATTTGAGAACTCTTTGAGACTCGACGGTACCACATATTTTTACATGTATTTTTAAATATGCATATATAACCGCATTTGATCAATAGTGCATTGTTATATTTCTTCCTTCGTGCAGCAGCCACCTTAAATGAAAAATTCTAAAATCTAGAATAAAATGGTATTGTATGTATCGTGTTTTGTCGAATGTCGTGATGCCAACCTCGTGCGTTGTAAGATGGAGGGGAAATTTATTCTAAACGCAAAAATATGTAAACTTACATTTATACAAGTTACTCTTGTCTCGATATAGTGATTCAATCTTTTTTTAATTCGACAGAGGAGAATACGAATTATTGATTTTACTTTGATATTGTCGTATTTTTATACTAAACGAGGTTGTGAGGCATGTAAATGCGTCAAGAATATTTTGTCTCGGGAATAGAAATTCTATCTGAGGGTGCGGGTTGATTTTAATGAAACAAGGTAACATCCGCGCGCGAGGGAAAAGAATCGTCGTCACTTTGCAGTTGAGCGTAACGAAATTAGCGGATAACAGTTTTAATTTGCAAGCGTCGGAAGCTGCGCGTCGATCCACTGCAAGTCATCAATCGCTCACGTATACGAGCGGCCCGTAAATCGCCGTCGTGCACGCTGAAAAAGCCGCGCGCAGAAAAACCCAGCGGCGCGGGCGGCGCGGGGCGCGGCTAATTGGATCGAGAGCACGTGCGCGCGGCAAGTTTCCCGGCTCGAAAACGCCGCGAGGAGTTTCTCGGCAGCCGGCTAGCCTTGACGGCGCGGCGTGCGCGCGCGAGAGAGCACCTGATTCGCAACCGACCAGCAAGACGGGCGGAAAGGGGGAGGAGAGGTCGTCCTTTCATCCCTGCGAGCGGTCGTCGCGCATAAGGATCCAGTCTCGCTCATTCCGCTACGTGCGCTCGCAGACGTTTTCCCCTTTTCTCCTCCCAACCGACCTTCCCCCCCGACTATCCCTCCTGTCCCTCCCCCTCCTCTCTTCCAGTCCCACCCCCTCCCGTCCGATCCACGGAGTCCTGTAACGGCGCGACGACACGTTCGGGTACACGCGCGCACGCAACGATCCACGCGTGCACCGCGCACCGTTCGCGACGGACAGGCGTTGCGTTGCGACGTTGCCTGGGCGCGCGCAGACTGCGACGGGGAACGCGGGCCGCGTTGTTGCCAAGCTACGATGCCGCGGCGCGATCGGCCGCTTTCCCGCGGAATAAGCGTCGCGATTCTTCCGTTCCCTCCGTGGAAACGCGCGAGCGCGTGCACGCGCGCCCCGGCGTTGCCGCCGCCGAAATCCGCACGTGCGTCCGTTTCGCGCGGCTCCACGCCTCTCTTTCGTTCTCCCTCTCGTTTCCTCTTCCTTTGTCCCGCGAGATAAGACGCGCTCTCCTTTGTTCCCCGCGACGTCTTTACGCGCTCTCGGGCTCTCCTCAACTTTTCGCCAATTGTTCGCCATTAGTATTCGCTACTTTGGTTCAATCGGGTATTTCTTTTTCTTTTTCACCGTTTCCCCCGTAAATCCCGTCGGTCGATACAATTATCGCGTGAAAACTCCGCGATGAAAACCGCTCGCGTTCGCCGTTGTGCAATCGGAGTTGCAAACTACCCGAACTGCTGAAGCGTACTCGCCGTTGACGTACGATGGCCTCCGGGTCGTTTCGCGAACAATGTTGAGCGTAAAGCGCGATGAAACAGGAACAAAAGGTATCGCGCGCGCGGGCGCGCGCGCACGGCGGGTACGGACAGCATTGCGTTAGATAACGCAGCCTTGCGACGTCATCGCGCGCGTGGGAATGGTGGCTGGATGCCAAATCGAGTGTATCGCCGACGGCCTGGGTTGCGCCAGTTGGCCACGCTAAATATACGAAGAGAGAAGAGAATGAGAGCGGAGAGGGCGGGGGAGGGGGACGCGAGGAGGGTAGGAGGTATAATAACTTCCTATAACGGCGCGCCGCGCTTTGTTTCTTCCATTAAGCCGTTTCTCCCCCCGCCCTCCCCGTCGCGCCGGTCGGCCAGCGGCGCGCAAGCTCGACGCGCAACGATGCGGTTACTCCATAATAGCGCGCCCCGACATATCGGCTCCGAATCACGATGGACGTTTATCGTTCTCGCAATAAAGCCCGCATCAAACGCAGGTACCTTCCCCCTCGTACTCGGCAGCCCGCGGAATCGTACGTACCGAGTAAGATAATGAATTCGCCCGATATTGACGCGCGCGCGGTATTGGACGCGATTGCTGCATTCCGCATTTAAAGTTCGTATCGTTCGTAATTAATTGACCGAGCCCCCGGGATCGTCTCGAGTCGAGCGCGAGTGGCGAATTACGGGTTGCGGGGGCGCGAGAAATTTTCTGCGAGACGGGAGAGAAAAAAAAAGAGCTCTCTGTCATATCGATCGAAATTGAACAATTAATCGGGAAAATCATTAAGCTAATGGGATATCGGAGATAAACGCGCAACAAGTAGCCCATACGTCATGCTGAAAAAAATACCGCGCCGCGATGGACTTTCTATTAACGGATGAACGAAATGAAAATTCGTTCGCATGCTAATTGACGTGTCGGATTACCCCGTCGAATATCCCCCATCAATATTTCGTAGTGTGTGTCGTGATATCTTCCCTGAATCTTTTATGAGACCATCGCGAGACCACGGGATGTTGTACGGTTCGTGTACCATAATTATTTCAAAAGGATTAATTGTCGCGTGACTATTAAAAATAACTTGTAATTAAATGACGTCCCCCCCTCTCTCTCTCTCTCTCCCCTCCCTCCCTCCCTCTCTGTCTGTCTCTTTCTCTGTCTGTCTGTCGGTCTCTCTCTCTGTCTGCCTCTCTGTCTGTCTGTCTGTCTGTCTCTGTCTGTCTGTCTGTCTGTGTCTCTCTCTTTCTCTTTCTGCTGTACTTCTATAAATGACTCCAAGGAGACTTCATAGAGAACTATGTCCTTCTTTATATTACACATACTACAATATTCAAATTGTCATTGCACAAAAGTTCTTTCTCACTTGTAAACATTTCAAAATGTAGTTCGTCTAACGCTTTAGGGGACTTGTCCCAGAGTGTTTGACAAATAAAGATTCATTCATTCATTCTCTCTCTTTCTCTCTTAATAAAATGTGTACACTAATATATATATATATATATTTTGTATAACGTATTTGATATTTTTATAACAATAACAATTTGGTAGCGCACTTAACGACGGATTATCCCACCTCATTGTTACATCGGGCAATTGGCTTAGCAATCAGTAGTTCGCGCTAATTACATAGGCGCTCGCCCTTAAGCTGTTCTCATAACGAGATCCACGACACCGCACGTGACCACCGCAAATGAACCCTACTTGTGCGGCACTCGGTGAGGATAGGTCAGTAACGCGTCGGCAATGCATTCGTGCCCCATCAAACGGGCATCACGATCGGGGCTTCGTGCGCACCTGGCACATATACAGGGTGTCCTCGAACCCGCGTCCGGTAAAATCCTCCGATTAATCGCGTCGATTACACAAGGATTGGCCGTCTTTTACAATCTCTCGACCTTCAATATTCAGCATCTTGAATTTAAAGTCCACGCTCGATGAAGTTTCTCAGCTAGTGCCGTCAATTGTTCAAGAAACTATTCTTTTTGTAATTTTCTCATCCCAATATTGACACGACCGTGTCTTGAAATTCTGTTTATGTAATATGCTTTTACTTGCATCTGACAAAATGTAAAATTTTATTACGCAAAATCTATTTAAAATAGATTTAAAAAATTAAAAGACCTTATAGATAATTCGATATCTCTCAAATATTTTAACACGCTCCTCCAAATATTGAATACACCACGTATCTACATTTTTTTAACATTTTGTATTTCAGCAATTTCGTAAATTACTATATCTGCAAAAGTTTCACTTTTAATCACCCGTAATTGAGAAGTTGTCGGCTTTTTTTTTAGATGAGGAAAAATGAGCTTTAATTAGTCTACACAAGATTTTGTTTGCGTGAAACGATCGCAAAGTTGAATGACCATCATGTGTATCCGATCGACCGCATCGCTCTCATGTATACATAGACAGGATCGTTTGTGCGACGGACTGAGGTACAGATATCTCGAATTTCCCTGCGCGCAACTCAACTCCAGTGGCTTTATCCGACCGGATTCGCCTACCTGCTATTCCCGGTTGCCCGAAATTCGTCGGTCTACCGAGAAACGTTACAAAATTCCATCGAGATTCTTGAACTCGCCTGGCTCGTCAGGAGGATGCTTCGAGACTGTCCCTTACCTGATTGTTGTCTGCGGGGATTTTGTGTGTACAATAATGCGCGTGCGTTTCTAAAGAAAGTAAAATGTCTTGAAACGATGAACGGCTGAAAAGCGTGCGTTGAAAGATTCTAAAATCGATATTCTAATGAAACAATATAAAGGAAAACCACGTTTTTAAAGCATTCCCGATATTTTAAAAGGTCCAAAAGTTCATTCGTCGAGCAGGATAAAGAAATAGTCTTTCAAAAGAACTCGGGCATCCCTTTTTAGATACGTCTTTTAGGGCAGTGACTAATGTTCCGTTCGGCCTTCTACAGATTTAGGTATTTCTTTTGGACTGCTCAAAGGATTATATTGTATCAAAATATGAAAATCCTAAATAAATACTTTCTCGGTACATAAAGGAAACAAAATATTTCTTACCGAACCAAAAAAATGTGTAGGATGACACACTACGGAAAAGAATGCTGATGACCTTTTAAATCACTGTCAATAAAGTTCCGAGTCACGTATACTAATACCATGTGGGTCTCGGATGATTCTATGATCTTTTTCATTTTCTCTTGTCTTCTAATGTATTTGCTCTTTTAACATGAAACTTCCATTTTAAAGAAGGATTTTATTTACTTGCAAATTAAAAATCTTATTAAAGTAATAACTCGAGTAAATGATTTTTTTCATGTAAATTCCTTGTATCTTGCCATTTGCATTAATCCTAATCGCGCACTTCTTATTTGCACGTGCATCACTTATTTAATACATTTAAAATTTTAAATACGTTTGTAAAAACTTATAATAACGATAGATTTTTATAGTCTACCGCGTGAATGTGTATTCTAAAAATTACTTGGAAAATTGCTCATTATCTCTAGATTTTTAATTTTAATAAGTTTTATCTACATCAGACGCTTAATTAAAATATACTAAAAGATGGTACCATTGGTTTGGTCTTGGGTGAACGTGTGCCAAGGTCACATGAAGGTCAACTGTGATTTTTTAAATGGGACCCTCTATTTTTCGTTTGACATTCTTGTAGCTAATCTCGAGAGCTTTCCACTGTAATAACGTATTTTTTTTCATCGAGTATTTTTCTATTTATTAGGCTCGAAAGATCGGTGGTTGATCCAACCAATGAAATGGGCCAACCTGTATAAAAGAGTCACGAAAGTTTGGTGTTGCTCTTATCGCTTTTATAAAAAGAAAGTTAAGATTTGTCGAGAAGCGTTAAAGTGTTGCTTTACTGACATTACGTGAAATTGGAATCGACTCTGGGGAAATTTGATCGTTACCACAAACATTTATACATTCGCGGTAACGCGTAATTTCTACAACATATAAACAAACGTACGAATATAGGACGGTACGTCATGATTATGCACATGATCGACGACGAGACAATCGGCGTGTCTGTCTAACGAGCGAAATGTTAATCGATATCTCTTGAAATGGGACGCACACTACATCGTAATTACGATTCTATAATGGCAGTTTAATCTATAATCGCATAATATATTCAGGCATTTCATTTCATTAATGACTCGACATAGACTATAATTGAATTGCAATAATTACGCCGATGCCGTGCCGATTTCTCGAGCAACAAAAGTGAAACAAATGCGAGACTACATTTGCCTAAATATGTATACCGACTTGAAGCTCCGAAGTTACAAATTTCAATGATAAATGCAAATCTGATATACATTTACAATAAATCCTCAAAGGAATACACTTCCCGGGAATATTATAGAATTAAACGATGCAGCCACGTATTTGTAGATTTCCTCGAGGGTCAAAGGGAGAAAGGAGCTTCATAATTGCGTGGCAAATTTGCAACACGCACCGTTAATGGGTCAACGCGGCTTTATGGTTTGTCAAAATAATACAGGCGCAAATATCGATCCCATGGTCGTTGACGTGTGAGCAGCTCAGCAAGTCCCGATATGCTAAAACACGGAGGAGGCGAATGCAAACGAGCGGCTCGTCTATTTTGCAGGGCATTTGACCTCGATACCGACATCCTTGTACTCTTACCTGCTCCTCCTTCTTTCTCTCTCTCTCTCTCTACGGCGACTGCCTCTTCGGCCGCCTTTTCATCGTGTCGACGAGAAACTTCAGTGTTTTGCATAAATAAGGCGACTCATTCGCGCGTCGTACGAAATGTTCACTTTTTCATTTATAAGCGCTTAACGAATAATGTTTATCGTTTTCTGTATAAAGTTCTTGAACTTTAATGAAACAATGATTCGATTACGCCGAAGGTATTGCCAATCCTTTATTATAATATACAATAGTATTTACCGAATGTCGAGATTGAAGTGAAAATCTAAAAAGAAGCTGATATTAAATAAAAAACGCGTTTGAAACATTTATATGTGAAAGATTTGTCCTTTCATCTGTCAAGATTTTAATTATTGATAAAAGATTTTATGTTGTTAAATAAATGGAGATGTAGATAATTTTATATTCTGTACAAAGCTGGCTGGTACACATGTGTGATTTACGATTGGAATAAAAATCTAAAAAGAGCTATATAAATATTTACATTTTAAAAAAGCGTCTGAAACATTTCTATTTAAAAGCTATATTCTCCCATCTTTAGAGATTTTAATTATTGATGAAAGTATTTTTATATTTTGCATTTGACTGAGAATTGAACTCGTAATAATTTCGAGAAAATATATATTTTAACACATACTCAATTTAAGAGATTAACCATATAATTTAAGGATAAAATATAAATTGTATCGTACCCAGTTTATTTTAAGCTGTACAATTCTCACCATATACCGAATCTCATTGTCTCGTATTGAAAGATACAATTAGTTAATAAATAAAGATAATCACAACAAAGACAAGCCCGAGGAAAAAAATTCTTACTTTTTATCTTTCCCACTTGTGATAGAAATATAATAATTGTTGGATATATTTTTACCCGACTCGCTGTACGAAACAGACCGAATACGTTACAAAATGCATTATACCTGTATCATGAAATATGGAAGATTTCAACGTTATTCAAGGAAAACAATGAATAATCTGAATGAATCAATACGACGATAGGAATACGATTGAAAAAGAGTCTGTTTTATAACGTGATATCCGTCCCATTAATGAACTAAGAAGAGATGTAAAATCGAGGGTCCCTCAAGAATGAGTTCAATTCTTCACGATCTTTCTTCTTGCCCGCGAATCTAGAATCGCGATTGGAACGTGGAAGTTTAAAGGTTTGGTTGACCAAAAGTCTTCCGGCTTATTCATGCCTCGGCAAGGATTCCTCTCTTTCTTTCATCGTCCTCCAAGCGACCTTGTTATTTTTTGTTTTTAGTCAATTATAAAAGCCAGAATAATACCTATCGTTGAATGCTTTAGAACGAAGAAAATTATTTGCGAGTCGCACCTATAAATAATGTAAATATCATTAATAGAAGCTCGGTTTGCACTTATTTCCCAAATAACATTATTTTTTTCATTTTCTTTCCGCGGAATTTCACGTAATCCGAATTTCAGTTCTTTCGATTTGACAACTACAGAACAGATATTACCTTTTTCTTTATTATTATTTAGAATCCTCTGAATAGACGCGCGTCACAGAACGCGTAATAAAAAACCATTTCGCTCCTACCTACATATATTCTACTCTCTCTTTCTCGTTTCGGCTCCCGCAGCTTCGAGGTCTAACCACTTTCTCATCTAGCCACGTCCCCGTCCTTCCTTTCTCTGTCATCATTCTTACAGTGTGAGAATCGCGTCGTAGCGGACACACTACGCGAGGGATAACGTACGACGCGCAATAAGCCCGCGACTCGCGATTTTTCGCCCGTCACAATATGTGTGTCGTAAGATGCTGGTTATCAGGCTTTTTGCGACAGCGAAACTGAGACGAGAAGGGGAGAGAGAGAGAGAGAGAGAGAGAGAGAGAGAGAGAGAGAGAGAGAGAGAGAGAAACCTATTAATAATCTCTGATATTAGTACGAATTCATAATAAATCTCAATACTTCTCTCGTGTCCCAAAGCCACGTCAATCGAGCGATTTTACCCGCTCGAAATTATAGATGAATAGATAAATTTATTTATTATTATGAATAAATTGTGTAATAGAACACACATGTTCGACAAAACTTTTCTATAACATCATTTTTGTGACTTCAATTATAATCTTCACGACTCTTAGTCCTTTATTCCTTCGAATTTGTGTTTATCACATTTGAGCCATACGAATTTTATTATAATATTCTTATAATTATTATATTATTATTTGCATTGTAATATACTCCAGAGACGAGAAATGAAGGTAATGGGGAAATCGTTGTATAAAAAAAGGTTGGATTGTAATCTCCGGTTACATCTTCTCATTATCATTAAAGTAAAAGGTTCCAGATAAGTTGCAACAATTGACTTCCCCCTAAGAACAATCGTCATTTGCGTAGTAACGCGATAAATTAAAAAGTTACCCTCTTTTCGCCACGATCATTCACAGATGTACCGAAACGCGGAAGCACTTTCAATACGTTCCGAAGCTCCCCCGTTCAGCGGTATTAAAAAAACATAGAAACAGATAGCGAAATAGAGAGGGAGAGAGAGAGAGAGTTAGGAGAGGGCAGAAAGGAGGAAGGAAAAGGCGCGAAGGAAACGGGCGTGCGCCTAGCGCCGACTAACCCCATTTGGTACAGCAAAGCGAGAGAAATCCATTCGAAAAGGCGCGTTGAAACATTACCCAAACCATCACGTCGACGACGCAGAGCCCTGAAACCCAGCCATGGTTGCCATAGTGACCGCGTCCATCCTCCCCTCGCGTGCGCCATCCCCCATAATTCCCCCTCCCGCCGTGGCCATCCTCCCTCCCCTCTTCTCCACCTTCGTCATCCTCACCCCACTCCTCGCTCCCACCCCGCGCCGTTATCCGCCACCGACATCCCCTTGCACCTTCACCCCTCCCGTCGTTTTCTCTCTTCTCACCCTGTGTAGCTCCTATCCCACACCGGGGCCCCCCCGCCTCCTCTTTCCCGACACAACGTCAGCCGATATCAAACTGCGATATCAATTACCACGACGGCAAACTACCGCACGAAGCCCGGCGATGAATTTACGGGTCGGAGCACGTGTTTTATGCAGTTTGTCGGCCGACGGAGTGAATATTGGGGACGTGGTGTGTGCGCGCGCGGCTGATAAACGCTCGCGTTCACGCGCGTCCGCGTGTCGACTTACCCGTGACAATCGTCGCGCTGTAATTTAGCACGCGATACGCAAACAGCCCAGGTCTCGCGCCTAACGCCACTCCCAATATTTATTTCGCGCGCCAACAGAATCTCTCTTTCGCCCGGAAATCAATTCTAACGATCTTGGAGAACGAAACGGGAGCGCAGTTGGTTGTTGCAGTGTCACGTGCGATATATTAAAAGACTTTCCGGGCACCGCGGAAACTGAGATATCGCTTTCTTCTAGAAACGCTTAACCTTCATCTCGGTTTCGGGTAATCCGGAAAATCTGCGAAATATGAAACTTGAACCTGTAATGAAAAGAAATGAGTATCGAAAGAAAGCAGTTGTGCCAGACTGAAACTCTAAACGAAGCGATATCGATTCATAGTTGAATTATCTAACGAAGGGATAATCAGTAGATGGCATCCTCATTCGATGTATCGAATTGCATTTTCGCCCCGGGCTAGTGAGATTTAACGGCGGACAGAATTAAATTACACTTTTGCTCTTGCTGCCTCATTTAAAGTCTGAGCGCGCGGCGCGCAAATGACTTACCAAGTACAAGAATATTTTACATCATTACGAGAAGTAGTCGCTTTGATGTTTAGTTTCCTGACAAAAAGAATGCGTTCTTTGTTGCATTAATCCTACGCGGATAAAGCGCCGCGTTTTTTTGCTCAGACGTAGTCGCGACACCGGTAAAAAAATTGAAATAATTTATTCGTATAAAACATTTTTGTTTCGCGCGACAAAATATTTACCGGGTCTTCCGTTATTTTACCTTCTCGCAAGCGCTGCAAACTAGAGTTACCAATATTAATAGCTAGTGAAAAAAACAAACAACACGATTTACTTACAAACTGACACAGAGAATTTAAATGTATTATACGACCGTGTGATCAAAGCACTAGGTCATATTTGTCATCTTGTTGCGTCTTGTTTTTATGACTCAGTTCGATTCGGACTTTTACAATGCTCGAACGTGCTCACTTAAGTTAAAATAATTTTCCTGACGATTTCCTACGTTGACAATGACTTGTGAGTCTGCTATAATTTATGCTCCGCGAACATCATGCACGAGGAAACTTTCTATATACGAGGTCTGTCCGCAAAGTAACCGACCTAGTGCTCTAACCTTGTACCTGGATGTGCTATTGTTAGAAATAGCTATTCATCATTTGAGGGGACCTTTATGAATGCCCCTGCCAGGCAGCGCGGTCCTTCGAGTCTTCAGTCGACAACGGTACGCTGTTTAGTAAACATTGAATTTTGCGCGCGTCGCATTTCACGCATCCACATGATTCGTAAAGTATATGGCGATAAATTCATGAGTGATACACCAGATTAAAAAATTTAAGCGATTTTAAAAGTGGTCGTGTATCAGTTGAAAGCGACAGTCGTTCTGGCAGGCCCGTAACGGCTACAACTTCTGAAAATGTGAAACGAGTTCGAGTTTTAATCAATCAAAATCGTCGTTTGACTGTTCGAGAGGTAGAAGAAGACTTTGGAATTTCAAAAACTGTTGTTTCGGAAATTCTTAGCCAAGATTTGTGGGAAAGTGGCGACTGAGTGTTGCACCACGCACCTGCCCACGCATCGCAACTTATCCAGCAATTTCTTGTGAAACACGGCGTTGTTCAGCTTCGTCAGCCCCCACATACAGTCCTGAACTGGCTCCCTGCAACTTCTGGCTGTTCCCCAAATTGAAAAATCCTCTTAAGGGAAGAAGATTCGATGACGTGGAGGAAATAAAAAGGAACGCGACGAAGCGGCTGTTAGCTATTCCGAAAGCTGAATACAATGAGTGTTTCCGAAAGTGGGAGGATCGCTGGAAGAAGGTTGTAGCTTCCAAAGGGGAGTACTTTAAAGGGGACATCGTCGCCATTGATAAGATTTAGCTCTTTCTCCTGCTGCAGCACAAGGTCGGATACTTTCCGGACAGACCTCGTATGTCCCCTTTTATTTGTGTTCTATATTGTCTTACCATCTTCATAAAATTGTGACACGGTGGTTTGCAGTTGTTACTTGATAAGGACCTGATACTTGGGTCGAAACGTCGTACCAATGTACCATTGAATTAATTACATTGCCCGTTGGATCAACAAGAAGCTTTGTGTCAATTAATAGATAGGTTATCAAAAATTGAAACAAAATAGACGCCTTGCATGAATAAATGCGACCGTTTCCTTATTATCCTTTTATTTATGTTTTTATAATATACACATGTCATAGGCACATTGAACAAATATCCGAATGTTGCTTTTTCTTGAATCAATTTATATGAAATTTTTTTAACATTGAAAAGTGACACCCACAGAAGCCAAAGGGAGATCTCAATTTCCATTAAAATAATATAGAGAAAGAAAAATAAACAAATACGACGCTCTTCTCTTGCTTTTATAAATAGAGGAAAGTCCTGTGTTACGAGACCGGCTCCTAATATGAGACAGCGGGATTTTTACAAAATTAGCAGGCATTGTCCGTTGGTTCACGAATTTAGTGCCCTTGGAGTGAGATCTGTTCAGTGGAAAATTCACTGTTATATTGTGTAATCGCTGCGAAAGAAGATTGTGATTGAATTTGGATGTTGAAAACCTGCTATCTCATATTAGAAGCCTACACTGAAAAAAATATTTGTAAAATTACATGATTATGCTGGGTTTTTTCCGACCCAGCATAATCATGCAATATTACTACCCACATGGAAAATTGCAGACTTTTTTCTGTAATTTTGCATGAAAATTCAAGTGATTTTTACACAAAAATAGTAATTTCACCTATATTTTACCATTAATATGTATTTTCACTTCAAGAAATCTGGAAAAAAAATTACAGTTATAATTAGGTAATTTTCCGGATTTGAACAAGTAATTTTCATGTAAAAGTACATGAATTTTTTTCAGTGTACCCCATAATATGAGACTTTCCTCTACTAATATATTTTATTAATACTGTTTATTTTACGTAAAATCTATCGAAAGAGAGTGTGTTGTTTTAATCTTTATTATCTACATGAGATTACTGTCGTCTGGCCCTTTCTCTTTCCGTTCCAATGTCATCTCTGTTGCTGAGCCGGGCTGTAGGATGTAAATCAAAATTTTAAATTAAATCCAAGCAATTAATATTTCAAAATTATTCTGACAAAAGGAAAATAAATAATAAAACCTGCTGTTGTTCGCTTATTTAACAAAAACATTTTTAGAAAGTGTTTATTTATGTTATATATGCAATAACAAAACTATAAACACATTTTATAAAGTTTTTACAGGAACAATATATTTAGACTGCTTTACTGTTATGCATTTATGCATTATTTCTATTACTCTAAAATATAAACACTTTTGGAAAAATGTATAAAACATTCAATTTTCACTCGTTACTATGTGGTAACCAGAATTAAATAATTAAAACTGAGAAGGACACAAAGTTCTGTAAGTACCTGATCTGACGTAGACAATTCTATGTCACTGCCATGTCGCAGCAACTCTGACTTATCATCGCAACTCATGTTACCAAAGCCCTTATCGTGCGTAACCAAAGATAAACTGTCACAATCTTCCCTTGTTATTTCTTCTTCTCTGGAATGATTCAAACTAAATTGAGCTTCGATGTCGAGATACCTGGAGAGAAAAGGTTTGCTCGTCAAATATTTAACCATATACACTGTGACGTGGCAGTTTGGCTGCACAGAGACTATTTTGTGATTCGGTTTCTCTTGCCGTAGTGTTCTTTGATTTTCGCAAATCGACGCTGCCCGCGAGCGCGTCTGGCGCCCAACACTTAATTTCGCGCTCATATCGCTCTCTCGGGTTCTCCCTTCTTTATTTTCGTATCATTCCGTCTCCTTTCTTCGTCGTGCGCGCAACCTCGCCCGCCGCGGGCCCGAAAGCGGCGGAGCAGATTACACGAAAAGCGTGGCAACATATAGAAAGCCTTTACAAACTTTTAGACAAAAGATTAATAGCGATATCTTACTCAGGCTCGGGCATAACGGTATCGAAATCGTGAGACACTTCTGGCAAAGCTGTTACAGCTGTCTCACAGCGTTCTTCAGGCAGCTCTACCTTTCTAGGCGTGACGGCCGTTTCGGTCTTCACGCAGAATTCAGCGCAGTCGGCTAGTAAAGACTCGGATTTGCTTAAGCTGATTCGTGCCACTCCCAATAATAAATCGCCGGTTGCTATCAAAGGCAGCTGAAACCGTTATAAGTATCACCAAGGCAACCTGTTGGATCTCGCTGGTCGCCAAGATAACATTTACCTTCGATTGTAATATATCATCTACGGATTTTTCTACGTCCGTCTCAAGTATTTGTGCCATCGTCAGTGTCTCCCTGCAGTGAGCAGCCTGCCATGTGGAGGCCAAGGACTTCTTCTTAATCAAGCTTGACAGCAATTGTTCGGAAGACATGATTCTCGCCGTCCTCTCTCGATAATGGACTTTTTTTTTGTATTTTCCCTCTGCGGGAACGCCGTCAACCGTTAGGTTATTTAGCGTGTCGGATAATGGACTTACGAGGGTGGGTTGAAAAGTTTTGAGCCTCAACATGAAGATGGCATTACTTGTTGTCGCCACTTCAGTACTGCGACCATAGGCCGGTATTCATAGTCCGTTCTTATATGTATTTAAGATCATCTTAAGTATACTCTTAATGTGTTTTTAACCAATCACAGAACCGTAATAGCCTCTTAAGACAACACTTAAGATGATTTTGAAATAAGAATCGACTATGAATACCGGCCATAGACACAATGTAACTAAAGACCGAGCGTTCGCCTTTATTTGAGCGGCGGGGATAGAGGTTCACGTAGAAAAGTCTTGTTTACATGCGAACGAAAGAGAGCGAAATAGCACAAAACAGAGTTTGTCCTTCGCTACGTGAACCTATACTCCCACTGCTCAATGCTCTA